CACACAAGAACACACAAACACACACACATTGCCACTCGGCTGCACCCATTTATATCCCCTCAAATTAAGACACTCTACCTCTAATTGACAATTAATTTCAACATCTTCATATTTTAATAAGACTCCTCGTCAATCTGAATAATGAAATATTCATTAGATACCTAATAACAACCTCACCAACCAGTGTGGACACACACACACACACACACACACAGACATACGCACACCTCACATCATATTTCTAGCCCTTTTGTCGGCACACACTGGAAATATTGTGAGAGACTGCTTTGGCTGTTCTCTCTCTCTCCCTCTCTGTTTCTCTCTTGCTGCCTCACTCACACAAGTTGATAAATTGCAATTTTCAGATTTGCTGAATCAAACACAAAACTGTAGTTTAACTATGACACAATTTGAATTTACCACTTTCTCTAGGGAATGAGAACATTATCAAAGCGCAGTTTTCTGAGCAATGAAGTGCACTATATGATGAGATGTTTGAGACAGAGAGAATGAAGAAAAAAGAAAGAAAGACCCCATGTAGACCCCAGTAGTCTCCATGATTTATAAATAACACATTAACCCTCTCTGGTCAATAGGGGGCGTAGATACCAAGCTAGACAATAAGAGAGGAATGTGAAACCCCAAGAAGGTTTAGGAGATAAAGATAAAGAAACAGTTCAATTAAGAGGAGTTTGTAGGTTAATAAGAGGTAAAAGCAAAGGTTAGGAGTCAGAGGGTAGAAGAAAAACTCATGTAATTTGGGGTTTGGGGTGCCAGTGTGTGTGTACTCACAGGTTGGTTAAAAGGCTTTGGCTCTGAAGGGCGCATGTGCAGGTGGGCCATCATGGCCTGGAGTCGCTCACTCTCTTTCGCCAGCTGTGAAACACACAAGGGTGGAAATCACCATGAAAAACACTTTGTCTCATTTCATAACCCATAGATTGATATAATGTGGTATTGACACAGAATTACAATTACAATTACACCTCAGGCAGAGAGACAAATATGAGAGTCAGCCCGACTCAGCACCCAGGGCTCTCTCACACACTTACTCTAGCCTGCAGACACACTCGTCCCTGTTTGACATTGTTAACTGCCTTTTAATGGGTACTGCTACAGCCTGTGGAAACGCTGCATCCTGGATGTGTGTTTGTGCACAAGTGCAGGCGTACAAGCGTGTAGCCTCCAGAAACAACGGATATACACTAAGACTGATGGCACCATTAACATAGTCACACACTGCAACAATGTACAAATATGAGACATTTAAACACAGTGCCTGTGCTACAGTGTGTGTGTGTGTGTGTGTGTGTGCTTGTGTGTGCGTGTGTGGTAGTTTGACGGTAGAGTTGTGGGCTGCCTGTGGACTGCTGAGGGATGAAGTGACATGTCAGGGAGAGAGAGACGGCCGTCCTGATGTGATGTGACACCAGCTGCCTCTCTGTCACTTTGTGTTCTCTGGTGGTGGCTTCAGGGGCTCAGCTAAACGCTGTTTACCACCACCACCCTCAAACACAATGCTAACCCCACACACATCACGCAGTGATGTGAACAGGGTATTCGGAAGTGTTTTGGAAACTATGTCAAGATGTGCGTGAAGAGACAGCCTCTGTGTGATCACTTTTGTTGGAACTTTCCTTATGTACTGTTCGAGAACAACATTTCACTTCTTACCCATTGTTGGTATTTTGCTTTTGCTGGAGCACTGAGATCTTTCAAGAGCATTGCATGCATGAACCCTTTGAGAACGAGAGAGACAGCCTGGTCCTCCACTTTCAAGCTCCTGTCTCTCTCCTTCTCTCTCTCTCCTGCTCTCTTTTCGCTTCTCTCCCTCCCTCCTCCCCTCTCAGCACTCGCTCTCTCTTGCTGGTGACCAGAGCAGCTTTATAATTGGAGCAGCGATGGCAGCTTCCCTGCCGACTGCTCCTTTTAAATTACAAGCTCCACTGCTCTCCATAAACTCTGCCCTGCCTCAGACAAGTTACTGCCATTGACTGGCTGAAACAGTCTTCATGACTTTGTTTGTGAGCAGAGCAAATTAAGTGTTTGTATGCAAATGTATGTGTGTGTGTGTTTGAGTGAGCGTGACTCACCTGTATCTCCAGCTGTTGAACCACCTGCATCTGGACTCGGCACTGAGCAGTGCTGCGGTCATCTAGGGCGTGCTCATTGTTCAAGTGCCTATAGGGGTAAGAGGAAATGCAAGAGGATCCACATTCAGTATTTTTGGGAAGTAAGTTAATAAAAAGCATCATGATTAAAATGGGGCTAGCACAAATACAGCGATGAAATTTAAGTTACACTGAGTCAATAGAGTCATTGTTAAGCTGATTCACAGATCCTGAATGATGAAGTAACAAAACTTAGCTTTTTTGCTTTAATTTAAACTGAGTTATGAGCTGTTTCAGCGCTATAAAAATAAATCACAATCTTGGAAGTTTATTTTGTCTAGTGAAGGACGCAGCAGCTGTGTTTTGTGTGTGTATACTTCATTGGTGCTCAGTGAGCCATGATCCAAGACAACCACCTGGATATGAGCTCATGTGTTATCGTACAAAGCCTTATCTAAAGACTTTCTGTTAGCTAAACTCCACTCAGTGTATTAACACTGGTGTGTGCGTGTGTGTGTGTGTATGTGTGAGTAGGTGTGTGTGTGTGTGTGTGTGTGCGTGTGTTTGTGCGTGTGTGTGTGTGTATGTGTGAATGGTGGCGCTGTTTGTTTCCTCCAATGTGGGAGGACCCGGGACCTTCTGATCTTTCCCAGCCCTCCCCTCCCTAGTCTCCTTTCCTCCATCTCTTTCCCTCTGCTCTGTCATCGCTAAGGTTATTCACAGGTTGCCGCTGCCTGCCCAGAGTGTGTGTGTGTGTATGAGTGTGTGTGCTCATGTATGTCACAATGTGTGTGTCGGTATATCAGAGTGAGTTTGATGATATCCTCTGGTGTTAACTTGTAATCTGAGTAATCTTCATAAAGCCTTTTTTCTGACTTGTTTGTTGTGAAAATGCCTGTCACACAAGGAGATATGTGTGTGTGTATGCAGTGTATGACTATTTGAGCGTGTGTGTGGGTCTTTAAGAAAGAAGAAAGTTAGGCAATATCAGGCGAACACTAGAAATGAAACAAAAACAATGATGTCATGGCATGGCTAATCCAGGCAGATAGACGGCTCAACACAAGTGCACGATAATAATAACAAAAACATGATCTCACCCCTCTCTTTCACTCTCTGTTAAGCACTCTCTCTCCCTCTTCCTCTCTCACACTTCTGTCCGCTCTCCCCTTCCCACTCCTCTTCCCCCGCTACTCCCCAAATGCCTATGATTCACACTCATTCCAACCAAATCTGCCCCCAAAAACCCTCCCCTCTCTCTATAGCCGGGCCATAAACAGTAGCAGGGTTTTTTTTTCTATGTGTCCCGACAATGAGGCTCTGTTTACTCCTCTGAGTGCTGGCAGACAAGGCTTTAACCCATATTACACCCAGTTCCACCGACCACAGCCAGAGTATTATACCAGAGGACGGGGGAGGGAGGGGAGGTGGGCAGAGAGAAGAGAAGAAAGGCTTGAAATAGTGGAGTGTCTCCCTCCTCTGTTCTTCTGCTCTACCCTTTTCCCTCCTGGGGCGATGACTAAGGCTGGCTGGAAGGGAGCGCACTGTCGGACTGACGGCATTATCTGTCACTGCCTCTCTTTTTTTCATCTCCTCTTTTACACACACACACACACACACTCTATCTCGCTTTCTCCTTCCATCTGCCCTGGGGCTACGTGAAATGAGACACCAAACAACAGCTTTCCTCTCCAAACTTTCCCAGCCTGCCTGCACGCTTTGATCTGACTGTCCGATGCCATCACAATCACTACGCACACTTCTGTGATTACGTGTGTCTGTGTGTGTATGAGTACGTATTTCATCACCCCGGCTTATTAATATCTCCGTTGTTCAAATAGCTAAGAGTTCCGCATAGATAATGAGAGTATGAGTTTTTTTAGGGCTTCATTAGAGACTTGTGAAGCCTTCGTTAGCAGCCATAGTGCCAGGGGGAAGTCCACTGTACTGTGTATGTGTGTGACAGAGGAGGAGGTAGCAGAATGTCAAGGCCAACTACTTCATCAACATACCCCAGAGACTCCAAACTGGCAAATAACATGATGGATGCAGAGTGGAAATGAGTGAAAAATGCGCATGGGGATTTCTTATTTAAACAAAGAAACAATCTTTCTGACCCTTCAGAAAAAAAGCACAAGAAACACAAACACACACCAAACTAATCAACTTAAATATTTAGACCTCTTATGCCTGCATTGAAGCAACAAATGAATGTGCACACACACAGTCAATAAAATGTGTGTCAGCAGGAGCCCAAAGAATTCCTTGAAAAAAAGAAAAACCTACAAACATGTTGAGCATATGTGCGTACCTGTGTGTTTTTTGCTTGTGTGTGTATGCATGCAGGTACCTCAGAGCAAACGTGATGTAACAGATTGCAACAGATGAATTAGTGAGGTAATGAGAAACACCAAATGTGAGTGTGACTGACACTCCCACATTTAGCACAAACTGGAGCTTCACTTTGCTCTGCTTCATCTTTTGTTCCTTCTAGTGATCAGAATCAGAGAAGGAGCCATTTTAGTTAACAGGCATTGTGTTTGTTACTAATTAGTGATAAAAATTTAAGGACGTTTTAACGTGGTCCTCAACGTGGTTTGTGGTCAACGACAGTGAAGTGTATGACGTTGAAGTTTGCACATTACTACCTGAAACTGAAAACAATGCTGATGGCACTGTAACCACGCATATAACTATACTACCATTTTACGACTGTTTTGACAACTACATGACTTCTATAACTCAAAGTACTTTAGTTTCAAAGCAGTCGTCCCTGTGAAGCACTAACGTATGTTTTTCATTGTGCGCTGCATTATTTTCCTCTACGTATCATATACCATATTTTTGGGGTGGTTGTTAACTTACTTGATGAACTGTCCCATGTCCTCACACAGTGCTTCACAGCCAGGCCACTTACACTCTCCATGGCCGTAGAGAGGATGGGAGCCGGCATGTTCCTCATGACTGTGGGGAGAGAGAGAAACACACACACAAAGAGAGACAACAGTAAGACAGCAGTACAACTTTTTTCACATGTTGTTAAAATATACAGCAAATAAAAGTGGTTACTGTCTCAGAACAAAAAAATAAAGTGTTAATATGCCACACTCTCACACACAAACACATAGATGCAAAACTAACTGTAGCAGCAGAAGCATCACTACAGCCATCTGAGTCTGGTTAGCAGTCATTAGTTTGTACAGTTCACGAAGCCAAGTGCAGGGAGAGGAGGATGGAGCAGAGTGGGGTCAGTTACAGAAGCCAGGCAAATAAGGGAATTGGTCCAGCAACCTCAGAGGCACATACTTTAAGTCCATGACCTGTCTCTCTGTCCTTGGCGTATGTGTTGTGCATGTGTGTGTTAGTGTTGGTGTGTGTTCTTACGTTTCAGGAGTTGACACAGAGTCGGCACAGGACCAACCAGCCATGACTGATTGGCGGCGGCTGCCGTCATGTGCTGGTTGTTCTTTTGTGGTGAGCTTGTGCACGTGTGTGTTTTTGTGTGTGTATATCTGTGCATATTTATGAGCGTGTGTGTTTGTTGTATGTGTGTGTGGTGATGAAAGACTGGGCCAGGTTTGGTTTGGGCCGAGGGTAAAATAACTGTATCCGTGCGTGTGTGTGTGTGGCAGGTCCAGTAGCAGATGTGGTTCAGACCTGGACCTTCGCCGGCGACTGCTGTCTCCACATATATTTACATGACTGTGTATGTGTGTATTTGTGTGTGTGTGTGTGTGTGTGTGTGTGTGTGCACTTATGTGTGTGTGTGTGTACTGGGATGGGGATTCTCCCAAATCAACATCAGAAGGTTGTCTAACAAAAACCATTTGTCTCGCAGATGGAAACATGTCTCTCCCTCTCCCTTTGCTTTTTCGCCTCTTCCTGATCATATGTGCTGGCTGAGGTTGTGTGCGTGTGTGTGTGTGAGTCTGCAAGTGTGTGTGTGTGCTGGCTGTGGTTGAGTCAACTCAGAAGCAGCTCAGACAGCAGACATGACAAACTGCTGGCAACCACATTCTCCTCCACATCAGCCATGCATTAGCTTAGCAGGCTAACACACTAATGCTACCCCCTTCGTACTGCTACTAAAGCCAGTGCTGCAGCACACTGGAGCTGTAGTATGACAGTGTGTGACATATTTGATCAACTAATTAAAGCTCTTTTAATCAATACATGCACACCCACCTTGACCCCCTCAGAAATGAGGTCAGAGGTCACGATCAACAATGCCTCTTGAGCAAGCAGTCAATCAGTACAAAAAGACACTGCAGACCACCCTCCAATAATGTGTCTTTCTGTCTCAGTCTTGTCCACTCATGTTTGTGTGTATGTGCTACTCACTGGCTGCTGGGGGGTTGGTTGCCTTTGGAGTAAAGGGGGACGTGGTCATCTCCGCTGTCTGCCTTGGTGAAGGAGGATATCCACTCAAACAGTCTGGCTCTTAAAGATGGAGACAAGCCCATGAGCAGCCAAACCAGCCATGGGACAACACAGCCCTCATATGTGCAGTACTCCCCACACATGCATCTTTGATATGTCAACACAGTAACGAGGAATTTATCTTTACAGCAAATTGAGATTTACAAATATAGATGATTCCATCAAATAATTTCCATTTTCTACCAGGTGGCCTGCATCCACCATCCTTTCCTCTCACCTCCTCTATATTATACCGGCATGTGGTTGACAGCATACTGGCAGAATATACTGAACCCAACACACCTCCTATCAAATGAGCTGCAAGACGTTTACACCCTGGTGATGTGTGATATGCTGCATGTGCATGTTTTGTAACTGTGTTTATGTGCGTAGGTATGTAAGAATAGTTAAAAGCTAAAAGTTAAAACATGAGTGTGTGAGTTAGAGAGGCTACAGGTCACACAGAGGACAGACACACCATCACTATGTAGATTTTTTCATGTATTCTGACATATTGTACATTACTATACCTGTCTCTCTTTGGGGTGTGGCTCTGTCCGTTGACCAGGCTGTGCAGTGGGATGTGAGCGCTGGCAGCTTTGGCGAAGGCTGAGGTAGAATTGGAGCTGTTGGTGCTCAAGTCCAGGCCCTCGGCCTGTTTCAGGGCATCCTCACTGCTCTGCACCCCCGACACCTCCTTCCACAGCTGTTGGAGGTCTGACGGACACATCGCTGCAGAGGAGGAATCCACAGTTAACTTAGCACCTAACTCAGTTAATGAATTTCACAATGCTCAGTGCAAATATGATTATAGGATATCTAAGTTAAGTAAACCTAATTCAAACAAGGCTAAGAAGAAATATGGTTGATAATAAGTCAGATGGAACAATATCTACAATACCACCCACGCACACACTGCAAATAAACTGATGTCACAGAGAGCTGCGACTAACTATTCTAATTCACGACACACATGCAACTATTACAGTCCCCTCAGAGCAGTTGAAAGAGGAAAATAGGACAAACTAAAACAGACAAGAGGTTAATTTCAACATGTTTTGTTATTTTTCCAAATATCTACTATTCCTCAACTATTTCCTAATCTCTGTTGGCAATTGCTACTGTCCACCAGCACCACTGCTCCTGTCACTACCACTATTTGTCTTAACAGGGTGGGTGCACACTTTGGGTTCTTTCTAGTTGCAGCTTTGTTATTTCTGCTCCAATTTCACAGTGAGAGAGACGCCTAAAATGCCACAGCCTACCCCAATGGATATTACCATGCACGCACGCACACATGCATAAATGCAGCGACGCACACACACATCTGCACATACACACACACAGCTACAGAGACCTCGCCAGCAATCCAAATATATTATGTCTGCTCTTGTCCTGCATTGCTTCTGTGGTCCCGCCAAAACAACAAAGTTTCTCACGTCTTTGGATGGAATGAGCGGCGGTGTGAGCATAGATTTCTGTGCGTGGTGGTGTGGTGTGTGTATTATCCAAGAAACCCGACCGATCTGTGGACACGCCCAGAGAGGGAAAGTGTAAAGTAGTTAAGTGATTGTTAGATAAAGTGTTTCCTCTTTTGACTTGTCAGACTAGCTCAAAGCAGATCCATTCCATTTAAAACAAGAGAAAATTTTAACTTGGAGGAAAAAAAGCAGATTCTGTTGAAAGTCAGCAGTTTACTGACGAGTGTAAAGCAAGCAAACTAAAAACTATAAGCAGCCATGAGCAGAGAAGATCTGTGAACAAAATTCCAGATTTTTTGTGCATTCAGGTGAAAATGTGTTCTGACAATATCTTCCAGCTAGTGTTGAACACCCACATCTGGCTGCAAGGGTCATATTTATTTCACATTGATGTCAGTACACAAATTACTTTAGAAGGTGTGGTTTGACCAGATTAAGTCAAACCTAATGGGATTTTTTATATCCTTAAACAATGGACTGGCTTGGTCTGTGCTTAGAGAAACACAGTTTGATTCTCATTAACATTTGTTTGGTGCTCTCTCTGTTTGTATTTTGCAGTCAAGTTAGAAGGTTTTTTGATTAATGAACATTTACAGTTATGTGATATCTACAAAGTGCCTCCATCTTACTGCAGTAAGAGAAATAAACAAAAACCTTAGCAGGACCCCCCCCCCCCAACTACTCACTGGACACAACGGCCTTTTGAGGCGGGGC